TAAGCCTAATTTATACTTTTGTAGAAACACTATTTTTATATAATGGCAAAGAAAGGGTTCTTTTCTTTTTTTCCTGTGTCATATGTGGCAGCACTGCCACAAGTTCCTCTTCAGAGAGGGTCTTCAGTACAGGTGGCAATATTGTCACCTGCCTGCGCTCATCTCTGAAACCAGACCATGTAAACAGGCTGGTGTTTCTTGCAAAAAATCTTTAAGAGATGACATGAGCAGCCCTACCAGCATTTGCCATGGTGGCCTAAACATTTTTATTTGGTCTTAAATTGTAGTTCAACATTTATTTCCTGTTACTTCTGGACCATGACGGTGGGCCAGCCTTCAACGTTTAACTGAGTGGAATATGATGAATATGTTTTACCAAAATGTTGGCTATATGTTAAGGAGTTTTCAGTAGGTTGTGACAGTGCACTGCAACATATTGGATTTCATTTATTTTGGTCTAATTTATTTTTATTTATCATATTAATATATGTTTAGTATGGTTTTGGAAGTGCGCTCCAACACATTTATTGATCTTGTTTATTGGTAAAATATTATTTGTTTTAAAGTTCAATAAATGGTCAATGAATAATCGTCAAAATAATCGTGATTTCAATTATTGACCAAATAATCGTGATTATGATTTTTGCCATAATCACACAGCCCTACTAGTAAGTACGTGTGCCACGAAAAGTGTGGTGTGTGAAGAGGAGACGAGACGCGTCCTAAAACCCAGAAGTAAGCTGCGCATGGCTTCCCTCCACAAAAAAGCAATGAGATTTCTCCATGGGATTTTAGAAAATAGCTCAAAATAAATCTGTGGGAAACTTACCTGTTAGATAAATGCACGTTTTGTTCAGCCAGATAATATCCACATGTCTACCCTACTTTTCTAATTTTCTAATCATAAATCTATCGATTAGATTTATGATAGACTTTTGAAACTACAAGAAGATAAGGATAGGGTTGCCAACCGTCCCGGGACGCCCCGTATTTGAGCCAAAAGGGGCGTGTCCCGTACGGGACTTTGTTTGTCCCGGACTCCCGTGTAAAGGGAAAAATAAAAAATATGTTTCTGTTTGCGCGCAATGCAGTGTGTCTGGCTGCGTGCCTGCGTGTTTGTGTGCTGTATTCGAAGGCCTTAGGACCGCTCAGTTGACAGGGCAGGCACAATGCTCGCACGTGTGTGTGTGTGTGTGTGTGTGTGTGTGTGTGTGTGTGTGTATTGTACATCGGCTGTGTGTGTGTGTGTGTGTGTGTGTGTGTGTGTGTGTGTGTGTGTGTGTGTGTGTGTGTGTGTGTGTGTGTGTGTGTGTGTGTGTGTGTGTGTGTGTGTGTGTGTGTGAGAGTGAGAGTCAGCTGATTGATGGGAAAATGCTGGGGAAATGGTTGGTTGAAGGATAACATTAAGTCCAGTGGCGGCCGGCCCATAGGGGCGCTAGGGGCGCCGCCCCACCTCTTCCCACATATAAAAAAAAATATTAAAAAAAATATTAAATTAAAAAAATATATATTTAAAAAATATATATATTTTATATTTTTATTTTTAATGAACAAGGTAAATATCATACAATTGGTATCAGTAAAATGTATAATCTACAATAAAATATCGTTTAAAATTGTGTTACGATGTCTAAAGTTACTGATAAGTCACATGTTTCCTGCCTGGCCTTGCCCATGGCATTAGTTTATCATTACCGGGGGAGCCCCCGAGCCAAACAGCAGCAAACAGCATGTTGCAAAAGTCTCAATAGTAAACTGTGCCGCCGAAACATAATTTCAGCCAATCAGCGCCGTCAAATATTTTGGTCACGAGGGCGCTCACGTTGGCGCCCACGTTGCTTACGTGCGTTGACGTGAGTTGCTTTTTAGACTCGTGAGTGACCAAGGTGACGTAGTAGTTGGATGAGAATGGTGTGCAGGTGGAGTCGCCCGACCTCGGTCCGCACCCAAACAGGTAAATGTTATCTTTTGTTTCCCATGCTTGCTCTTCAAACAGCCGGGGACAGATACGATCTGTTCAGAAACTAGACAAAAGTTAAACAAGTACAAACCACAGACCTTCTGTGCCATGGAGAATACAGTCGCTGGTTTATTTATGTCTGTATAGGCCGTTGTTGTGAGTGTGGACGGTCGGAGCATATATAACGTTAGCTTAGTCAAGCTCCATTCAGAACGGTTTTTCGCCTGCCGTCTGTCTGCAGACTTGTCAAAGCAATAATTCATGGTTTTTACTAACCGGTATCAGTATGTTGTTACGTCGGCATAATTTAGAAACGTGTATTACAATTTAATCACGGTAAAATATGTTCATTTTGTTGTAGTTGTAGCTCCCGAGCCCGCGCGTCTTGTTTGAATGATGCGAGTAAACACAGCTGGCAGCCGCGGTGAAACTCGAGCGACTAGAGCGATGCGATAGGAGCGTTTAGAGCGAAGCGAATATTCGCATCGCGTCCGGTCTGAACGCAGCATTAAAGCGAGCTCCGCGCGGCACTGGAAACGCGCCATTACATCACCACAAGTCCTAATTTAAGGGGTCATTTATCCCAAAAAAAAATGTTTTACTCACTATATCAACAGCCCCACCAAAAATATTTTCCACCAGCCGCCACTGATTAAGTCTAATAATGATGTTCCGTGCATGTTCACATCATGTATACTTTGCATTACTTAAAGGTGGGGTAGGTAAGTTTCAGAAACCGGCTCGAGATACACTTTTTGTTATATTCCATGGAATGCTCTTAACATCCCGATAGCAATGAATCCGTTTAGCCGGGCCGGGCCGGCTAAACGGATTGGATTGCCGCCCTGTCGGTCAGCCTTCCATCTCGTGCACGCACAAATGTATCTCGTGCCCTCATTGGGCGTGCATTGCAGCAGTACTTCAATGACTCGCCAGCAACAGGCGGCCACTTTCACCAGTCTGCTGACGTCATGTGCGCGTTCATGTGTGTTGGAGGAGGTGCTCTGTAAGGAAGTCTGAAGGAAGGGGCGGATTCTTTTCGGCTGCGTACTTTCAAATTTTAGTGCACTCGAGCCGGTTTCTTAAACTTACCTACCCCACCTTTAATACCATTTTTCAAATATTTTATTTTTTAACATTTTGGACAAAATAGCCAATTGTACATCGAGGTGCCCAGATGTCCCTAGTGCCCACCTATCCGATTTGAACATGCTGATGTACAATGTGATGTAGTAGCCTAATGCAGGTGTAAGACCATTGTGTTTGTATTGTGTTATAGGTATGCATAGTTTTCTATGCATTTTGAGGGTTTTGGGGGGTTTGACCCCCAAAAACATTTTCGAACCCTAGGGGCTGGCTCCCCCAAAATAATTAAATAACATAACCCTAACCTAACCCTAACCCTAAAACCGAAATAAAGTAACAAAAAAAAGTAACTAAATCTGCCAGAATCCCGAAAATCTTCGCGCGCGCGGGGGACACATGCATGTGTCCCGTTTCTTCATTTCTGGAAGTTGGCAACCCTAGATAAGGAGGACTTTTACAAAAAAGTAATAGAGATTTTTGTCCAGAAGGATAGGCAAATGGACTTCATCTTCAAGTCAAGGTAAGACCGCAATTTTATTGAAAATGGGATCTTACTAAGAGAGAACAATTCTTTAAATGATAAAATTACATTTTTTGGGTATCCTTTTGTTGAACTGTCTGTTTAAAATTAATTGAAGCATCAGAAAAAAAAGCTTTTGAAAATAATATATTTTGATTTAGGTCAAAATATAATATTTGTAAACCTGAAGAGTCAGTGCCAGTGCAGAAGCTTATAGTCAGTGCCAGTGCAGAAGCTTATAGACATCTAAGTTGTTTGTGCCCCACCACTTTTGTACACCACTTTTGTACACCTTCACTCAATCCTGAGGGTTTCCTCCGCTCAGAGCCTGACCCCAAACATTGATGAACTTGCACCCAAGATGAGATGCCAAGTATCTGGCTTGAACTAGCATCACAGAGCAGCACACTGAGTTTCAATGGATGTTTTCTTCTGCACTTTTTCTCTCACGACAACAGGGCATGTTTGGTTTTTTCTTTGCCATAAGAAATGAATGCAACTGATTATTTAATGTTTAATGTTGTTTTTATAAGCAATCATTTAAGCTTTGTTAGTTCCAGGTTTAATATGTGCAATAAGTTCATTTCAATAAGTTTTGCAATAAACATTGAACCAGTCCGGCCCTCGACTATACCGATTTTAAAATGTTGGCCCACTGTGTATTTGAGTTTGACACCCATGACTTAAACCATTCAAAATGCATAGTTCAACCCAAGACATTGCAGAGGACATTGAAACTTGTTTCTACAGTTATTTAGAAAGAAGTCTGACATGTATTATGTATTTTGAATGCACACACATGCCCACTCATTTTATCTAAACAGATACAAACATGCACAATACCCAGTTGACATGTTAGAAATGTTTAAAACAAATGTGTGTGATGTGTTTTTTACATTGCAATGATCTATAGTCTGTATTAGAAAACTATTAAAACATATTGAAAAATTAGAGTGGCATCAAAAACGAGTGGCATTATAAAAAATAAAGAAATCCCTTTTATTAATGTGATATATTTCTTGAATCCTAATTAACTTTAATAGGTATTATAAATTAAACTGTTTTAAAAAGAAATATTGACCTAATGTCCAATGCCAGTGACAATATAGAAAATAAATAATTATTTAATTGATGCATATCATATCATTTTTGTTTTAAATTGTGATGTTTCTCACATCTCAATTACTTATAATACGTTTTTAAAGTATTAAAGAGTATGAAAAAATGATTAAAAGTAGTAGTTAAAAAGTCTACCGCCAGTGACATGTATATTTGTGTGATGTGCTTCCTTAATCCAATTACATTTACTAGCATTAAAAGTAGGTCAAAAGGCCATAGGAAGACTTGTGAGATATTAAGTATAAGCAATATGGTCATAAGAAAAGGTGTGATTATATTCTACTCTATCCACACCTACAATCCATTTCCTCTTACCCTGGTGCTTGGAGCTCCTGAGTAGATTCTTGCTGTCCCCGACTTTTTATCCGAGTACAGCTGATCATTGTTCACTACAGTAAAAATCAGACACACAATTGCAATTTGTATTCCTTTCTTGGTATACAGCATTAGAAATGTGTGCTTTGTATTGTAATCCTATCTACTCACCGGTATCTTGCCGCATGTATGTGGTGTATTTCTGTGAGCAGCACCTGAAGACCTGCCATGCCAAGATACCCAGCGCCAGCAGTAAAAGAGTGACTGAAATTCCCAGGATGCAGTACTTCACCGTGTCTGGGAATGGCATTGTCAGGTCCCCAGCAGCTGACAGTCCATCAAAATATACAAAACTATCCAACTCCATACCTCTGCAACACAGGAGGAAAGACGTGAGAGGACTATAGATCAACTATTAAGGAATACTGTCAGAATGTTGTAACTGCAAGTGAATAGCAACTACAGTATTAACACTAGCTTTCATTTTGGCATTAAAGTGACCACTTTACCTAGGATCCAGGACAGTCATTCAAAGACATGCAGGATCTGTATAGGAAATCTGTTCGACTAAAAACCCTAAATAGCCAAGTAAAAACGTATGCAATGTCACAAAAGTTTACCAAACAGCTGGCACTTGTGGGTTTTATATCAAAGAGACGTAAGAGGGAAAGAAACGGTGAGTGATGGCGCTTCTTCTCTCTCTGCACACAATGCTGTTTGGCAGCGTGGAAATGCAACTTGTGAAGATAAGGAGGTCAAGGAGGTGCAGCTGAGTGGTAAGACAATTGGTTATTATAAGTAAATTACAATTTAAAAAAGGCCACATCTTTGAAGTTTCTCCGAATTATGATTACTTGCTGATTGTCATGTTTTAAAAGCTAAATACCTTCGGGGGTTTGGACTGTTGTGACAACAATTGAATACAGAGGCACCTTCGTCAATGAGACTATTCAACCTTAATTTTAAGGAAAGCCAGTGAGTAGATTCACTTTTATAAAACACAAAAATATATGCTTTCCTAAACTGTTAAATAAATGTTTCTTTACAAAAGCAATGAGACTCAGTTGGTATCCCTTATAAGGGATATATACACCTTTATATCCAAAACAAGTAGATTATCAGGTTCAAAATGCCTGCTGACTACTGCATTTGTTACAGTTGGATTATCGCTTGAGGTAAAGAAAACCGGTACACCTGTGGCGTAGTCAGAAAGATTAAATGATCTCCTATCAGAAGTGGTTTAGTCAAATCGCATTTGTCAAACTCAAACTGCATGCAAAACAAGATGAACATTGCAGGGGAAACCTACAGAGTTAGAAGTAGTATTTATATTTAAACAAAGAAAGTTGACGTAACACATTTAAACAATTCAGGTTTGGCAAAATGCTGCCACCAGAGTTTTAAAAATGAATAAAAAGATAAATGGAGAAGACTAAAGGCAGCATTTATGTTGCTGCTTACACCTGAGACCTACATACAATTAAATAAAAAAAGACACAAAGCATTTACCTATGGTTAGAAGGAATAATCAGCTCATGTTTCTCTTCAGCGATGAAGGTATTTCACTGTGCTTTCCACTCTTCCAGTTTCACAGAAACAAAGTCAGCAAGAGGAATTCAAAGCAGCACCTTATCGTATAACTGTTCCTCCTTTTTGTGTCACACTCCTCTTACTATCCACCCACACCGAGCACATGACTTCCTGCACACCATTCTGGGCAAACTGGTTTTCATAAGATTTAAATAACATTTCAGGGAGCTTAACAAGGCCTGACCTTAAGGTGTCTTCCTCTTTAAGATCCCTCGGCAGGCCTGCTTACAAAGTTTCTAACTGGATAAAAAAGAACTAGTTGATTTAGTCCTAACATCACTTCATAAATCAAAACATTTATGTTCATTAGAACAGTATACGTTCTCATGTTTTTAGGAATATCCTTTAGAAAAAAGGTATTAATGAAACTGAAAAGTTTGCTGGATGTAAGTGCTACTGAATCAAGTTATGTCAGGTGATTAGGGAAAACATTTAAGTACACAAAAGATATCCCCACGAAACCTTTTAGTTACTTATGTTGAGATGTTTATTTGTTGCATTACAAGTTTTCTGAAATGTTATGTTTACATATGCAAATGAGTTGTTCTCTCAACATAACCTTTAATGAATGTAGGATGTCCATAGATGCATATAGACAAAGATAGTAATATGCAGTAATGAAGCTCAGCGCAAGTTCAAGCAGGAAGACCAATATCCTCTGTCTGTTACACGTCATTCCAAGGCCCCGTCTCAGGTCGGTTAAATTAAATCCTTGCTTCCCTCATTTGCGTAGTTTCCCTGCCTCTAGTCCCTCCCACCAGGGAAGCATGGAGGGAAGCAAGGAAACCACGAGAAGCAGGGAAATGAGTTTTAAGAGCAATGGGACGTCCTTTCCTCCGGAGCGTCACGTGAAGCGACGTCCGTTTGTGATGACGCCGCACAGCTGATCGTCTGACAGCAGCTCTGTCCCCGTTGTTTTTCACAAACACCCCCGCCTCTTTAGTGCACATTTACTGACACAAATCATCTGTTGTAGACCCAAATACATTAAATAAAATAAGAACTCATTCTCAAAAAAAATAAACGCCATTCTTAAAATGTATAAACGAACAATAGTTTGATTAATATTGATTAGAGTGCACAATAGAAATACAAATAATTGAGAGAAGAAAAAGAGATATGTTATCTATCAAAACCCAGTTAGATTAACATTCATTGAAACAAAACACGGTATAAACTGAGGAGTGAGTCCTCGTAAGTTTCATGTGTTTTCTTCACTCCGCTGGGAAACTGCTCTCATGTCAAGAAGCATGAGATCAGTGCATGCACTGCATCGTCTAATCAGTGAGCGATACACAGTAAGGGGGCGGGGCGAGTATCTGAGGATTTCATCGGAGGATGGATCGGTGGTTCCTCGATTATCGCTCCTCCATTATCGCTCCTCGGTCCTCCGGCAGAAATAAGAGCCATGGGACGGTACTCAAGATGGCGCAGACAAATCAACTTCCGGTGAGACCGAGGACCGAGGAGCGAGGAAATGAAAAGAGTCGATCTGAGACAGGGCCCAATACTCCCACCTCTCTCAATAAGTGATCGGGGGCGTCACTCCCCAGCTAACCAATCACTTCCCCCCATCTTCACAAGCCTATCATTGCACCCGCTAACCCATTTAAATCTGCTCTTCCCTCTCCGTCAGCTGTCATTTCAGGTGACAACGCGCAACCCTCCTCCACCCCTTCGCCTCCTGTCTCCTCATACAGGGCCAAGCTAAAACCCTCTCCCTTCAGACCGGACCGAACTACTCATCACCACCACCAGTGTACTGTATAGACCCCGGGGGGTTTCATCGGAGCGGTTTTTCCCCTCCTGAATGATCATCCTGCAAACCGGGGCCTAATCGCCAAACACCATTCCATTCACTCGTTATAATCTGTCAATCACTATTTCATTCATATTATGTGTCCCGGTAATAAACATGTATTTCATACATCACATCTCTCCTGATTGAAATGGAGGAAGTACTCATTTTACAGACTTAGTAGAAATATTAAATAGTAAAAGTACGAGCCGCTGTCACACCATTAGCCGCGTTCACACCCGAGTACTTTTCCCCGTACTTTTCGCGTTTAGTTCCATTAGTAGGCCTACCCCTTATGTCGCGTTCACACCAAAAAGAGTACTTAGTGCCAGGAACTTTTACCCCCATTTTTAGTGCGTGCTGAGAGATGGTACTTTCCTGGGGGAAAAAAGTGCCCCAGTTCTGATTGGCTGGGCGAATTGCAAACCACACCCCGTAAAACTCTAAAATGTTTTGTAGAGCCGCCATTTTATTATCCTCGCATTAGCATTATTAGCATTCGCCCAGCGCACAAACGCAGAGAGACTAACTTATGGCAACAGAAAATAAAACATGGGAGCGGTGGAGATGAGGAGGTGTCGGCATTCTGGCGATTTACTCGGAAGGCTTCAGTAGAAGCTGCTGGGAGTCCCAGCAGCTTCTACTGAAGCCAGTCCCCAACTCCGGCCGGGGACTACGGGTGGCAGTATACACCGTGAAGTGGTTTGCGGCCTGCCAGTAAACCCAAAGCAGAAGAAGAAGAAGTGACGTCAGCGGCTCATTTGCGTAATCTTCCCTCAGGGAACTTATTCCGGTGTGAACGCGATCTGTACTTAGTGCCAATCGCGTTCACACCGGAGTACTTTTTGCTGAGGGAAGATTACGCAAATGAGCCGCTGACATCACTTCGTTATTAACCAAAAACCGTTTTCAAGAGACGGAAGAGGGATTGGATAATCCACGAAGTCCAGGGCCAGGGTTTGTCACCAGAGAAGGAGCGGAGGTCCGAAGCCGGGGATCTCGAGTTAGCGAGAGCGAGCAGGCTGGAGCAGGTGTGCGGAGAAGCACGGTGGAACACAGACGAGGAGAGCCGGGAATCCAGAGCTGGCGAGAGTAAGCAGGCTGGGGCAGGTGTGCGTGGAAGCATGGAGGAACACAGATGAGGGGTAGGTGGCTGGACGTGGCAGGCAGAGGAGTAGGCAGACGGATACAGCGTGGTGAAACGACGAACTGGTGAATACTGGATGAAGGAACCGGGTATATATGCAGGTGAAGGTGAGTAGTTGTAATCAGCCACGCCCAGCCAGGAAGACAGACACACAGACAATAACAAACACAAAGGGGAACAGAAGGAGGGAGAACTGCAAATCCTCACAGGCCTACCTGAATGCGCGCGCAAGCTCACCGTATATAAGGCGGCCACGCCTCCTGACTGTCATCCTACACCCTCTTCAGCGAGCGGGGAGAGTCCTCCAGCCCTGCATGGGGCTTACTGCGCACCATGTTCCCCGGGTCCCTAAGGAGCATGGGAAAACATAAGTGCATTATGTCCAGGGGGGGGGATCAGATACCTACTGACCCATAGAAAACCGCGCCATAAGCGGTTGACTGAAGGCTGACCTGCCGCCAAATCCCTCATGGCAGGACGAGGTGGCTGCTGCATACACCTTCATTGTGGAATGAGCAATTCCCCTGTCCACCAGCATCTGTAAATAGGACAGAATAGAGCCTAATGTACATGATAGAGGCTCTAGACTCCTTTCTTCACACCACCGCTGGAATCCCAAACACTTCGTCCTGTAACAGGCTGTGGTGGATCCTGCTCTTGCTGCCTGGATAGTCGGAATAACTTTGTCAGACAGTCCCTCCTGACTGAGCCTGTCCCTCTCAGGAGCCAAGCCTGGAGAGGTTGGCCCAGAGTGGGTAACACCCCTATTGCACCTGCTTCCTGAGACAATGCTCCCCAGACCTGAGGAACCGTCCAGGGCTGGCCCACCATCATCTGTATCACCTCTGCGTACCACGGCGCCAAGCGGTAACCTGGGGCCATTAGGATGACTGACAGACATTCTCGTCTCACCCCCTCCAGGAGGGGGAGAATGAGACGCAGCGGTTGAAAGGCGTAGACCAACTATCTTGGCCATGGCTCGTGTGCAAACGTGTCCACCCCCAAGGGCGGATTGTCCTGCCGAGCCAGGGAGAACCACCATTCGTCTGGCAGGGGCCCGCCTGTTGACATGAGGCCGTCCGCCCTGTTCTCCAGTCCCGGAATGCGGGGGGCCTTCAGAGATAAAAACATTCTCTGAGGCCCATAACCACATGTTCTCTGCTGCGCTAAACAAGGCGGCAGAGCTGACTCCGTCCTGCCTGTTGATGTAAGCCACTGTGGTGCGGTTGTCGCTCCTCACCAGCACATGTTTTGCCTGTAGTAAGGGTTTGCAGTGCTGTAGGAGCAGTACTACTGCCCGTAGCTCTAGAAGGTTGATGTGCCGAGTTTCCGTCAGAGGCCAGCCACCACCTATAGCTCTCTCTAGGCAGGTCCCCCCCCCATCCTGTCACAGATGCATCTTGAACACCGTGACTGCCGGTGAGTAAGTAACCCCAGCGGTACCACGAGGTGAGCAGCCGCCATGAGAGCCAGAGTCTGCATGATGGTCAAAGCTGTCACCATTGCCCCCTGTCGCAGTCTGCAAACTGCCTGAAGCAGGGATGCCTGTCTGCTCTCTGACAGGGTGGCACGTAGTCTGCCTGCATCGAGCAACATCCCCAGATACCCCACCTGCTGGTGAGGTATGGGACTGCTATTCTTCCAATCCATGACCGCAATCCACTTGGATCAATTGGGCTGTGTTTGCCCCTTCCCTGGACCTAGCCATGACTATGAGGTCGTATTATAAAACCCTCATGCCATGGTCGCGAAGCGGCTGAAGCGCTGTGGCCACACCTTTGCTGAACGTGTGTGGGGATAGGGGGTAGCCAAACAATCTGTTGTACTCGTAGGCTACCCCCTGGAAGGCAAAACGCAAATACTTTAAGTGCTTTGGAGCCATTTTCTACATGAATGTAAGCGTCCTTCAGGTCGATGGTTGTGAACCAATCGTCCGGCTGCCCTAGTTCCAGTAATTGGTTTACATATGGAACTTCTTGCAGGCAATGTGCTGATTCAGGCTGCAATGTGCTGATTCAGGCTGCAAAGATCCAGAATGGGTTTGAATTATCCTGTCTTCTTGGAGTACATGGAGTAAAGCCCCTTTTCTCTCTCCTGAAAGTGCAC